CCCATTGTCGCAATATTTTGAGTAATCGCAAAATCAACGGAGTTAAAACATTACTAAACGCATAGAATAAAATTTCTCAGACATGTATCTTTGTCAAGAAATTACCACGAACGCTCCTACTGCCAACTTGGACGGGTGTAAAATAACCTGTGAAATAACCAACTTCACAACTGGGAAAAGAAACAGAAAATAAGTATATTGCATGCAATTCAATAATTTTATCGATCCCTGAGATGAGTCTGATGTTCTAATGTTGAATAATAAGGGGTGTGCGATAGACTTACCTCCACGTGGTGCACTCTGGGCAACGTATACTCACATACGGCAAAAAGTCTATTGACTGGCAGTTGACTTCTCACTTCAAACTACCATCACCTCACTGTATGTCATATTCGACTATTTCACAGTACTCACCTCACCTTTTTTCTACCTTTGTGTCTGTCTCTTTTATATCTTTGAAACACTCTTCTGTTCCCGTTCCCCTCTCGATTTTTTTCAATTTGATGTATCTTCCTCTCTGTGATGCCTGAAGTCAACTAAAGGGCTAATGATAGCCTTCAAGACGCCTGCCATTTGATATAAATAAATAAATAATAATAATAATAATGTTGAATGATAAAAAAGAAGGTGCATCTCCCCACATCGACACATTAAAATAAGAGTAAAATGGAGTGTTAGGTTTGTATTCTAAAATTCCAGAATGTTCGCCATTTACTCCTTTCGTCTCCTAGGTTACGAGATGGTTGCAATTTTCATTCCGTTTACTTCAATACATGCCTGCCTCATAATTGGGTCAGCATAAGAATTTGTCCCTACTTCCGAAAGCCATGGGTAATTTCATGATGTCACGGCAACTTGCAATAGTAATGTTATTGAAACCGAAAAGGGGCATATTTTGCGTAGATATTTGTTTATTTATTTATTTTATTTCAAATGCCAGGTGATTTGATAGTTTTCATTAGACCTTAAATGATTTCGAACTTCACAAAGGGGAGAAACATTATTATTATTATTTCAAATGACAGGCGTTTTGAATATCATTAGCCATTTAGCTGACTACGGGCTTCGCAGAGGGAGGAAAATCAAAGCGAGAACAATTTGGGAAGGGGAACAGAAGAGTGATTCGCAGATGTAGAGAAGACAGACAGACACAAAGGCAGAGAAAAGGTGAGATGAGTACTGCGAAATCTGTGTAATATGACATACGGTGGGGTGATGGTAGTTTGAAGTCAGAAGTCAGCTGCCGGTTAATAGACTTTTTTGCCATATGAGTATATGTTGCCAAGGGCGCACCACGTGGAGGTAAGTCTATCGCACATCCCTTTACGTAGACATTGAATTTCTGAAATGTCTAGACATTGAAACGTGTCATTTGTTAGAGTTTAAATGAAAACCAAGAAGGAATGCGCGCTGTTTAAGGAGGCTTTAAGTTGTATTCCACTAGTTGATCCAACCAATTGATTATTTTACGCGCGCGCGCATGTGCGTAGTTTTTTGGATTTATTGCCTGTGTCCTTGGCCCACTGAACCATCATACTAGCGCTTTCAACATGATCTCTCCCCCCCCCTCTTATCTCTCTCTCTCTCTCCCTCACTCTAACCGCCACTTAATGAGACAGTCAGGTCAGTCTGTAATTAAAGCAGAATGCCAATTCAATATATTGATTTTCTGGAGTCCAAACTAGCGTGAAAATTGTCTCTCAATTAGGTTAACTGTTACAATTATTACTAGACTTGCCGTTAAAATAAATCCTTTCATTTTTTTATGCTACGCATAATAAAAGGCTAATATACTTCAGTAAGTTGTCAAATTGCGATGCAATTGGTGCCTTTGATGAAGTCTTACAAAAAAATAGGATTCTGAGAGCAAGTGATTTTTATCTCTCTATTTTCGCCCTGGTCTTCTGAGTGAGCTAATGTTCACAGTTTTTGGAAATTAAAAGTGCATGTTATCAGTCTCTTTTCCCCAAATTCTGTGCACAAAGCAATATATGTATTGTTCTAAAGGACACAGTAAGTACTTACAATTTGGACTTCTACTGACCTGAGCCGATTACAATTACTTTAAGTTTATTGCGATCGGAATTTTTCCCAAATGCACTTCAAGATATCACATATTCTGCAATGAAGGCTAATTACGATATCTCTCAAATTCGGGGAGAAGGACTTAATGTGAATGACGATTTGTGTTAATTTTCATCAGGTCTCCTCTAGAGATAGCATCTAATAGCAACGCACTATGATTGTAAATTATGCCTAGATGCATGGAGTGTGCATAGATTTCGGTCGTAAATATTTTACATTGCTTTACTTTTAAAGTCCATTTTTTCCCTCTTTCTCTCTCACACACACACTCTCTCTCTATCCAGTAAGAGCAATGCATTTTGATGGATGACCATGACTAGCAGCTTTTGAACATAAGCAAAATTGAAATAGGCAAGGAAGGTGTACAATGGTAGAGAATGGAAAAGTTGTGTGGAATTAGGGTGAAAGGACTAGGAGCATTAGAGGCATTTTGGACAATACATTGCCCTTTTCTATTCAGTTGAAGTGTTTAATTTGAGCACTCATCTCCTGGAAGATGATCACTTCCACCTCTTAGTTATTGTAGATCTTGCTTATAGATGGGCTTAAGAAATTGAGGATCTTTAACATATATACGTGCTTAGCAACTCCTAGTAATGTCATCTTAATTCTCATACTTAGTTTGGCTATAATTGTTCATTTTAAACATTCAGTGCTTTCAATTCTTTGCAGGAATTATCGAGCTTTTCCGGATTCCATTGTTATCTCTTCCACCCTGGCAATATGTAATTTGGGACCACTCGAATATCAGTAAAGCTATATTTCAAGTACTAAAATAGTTCAAATTCTTGCCTGCATATTTCAATACCTTAAAACACCAATCAGCGAATGTAACACATTCGGTTTTTAATTGAGGCAATATATATTAAGGCTGCGTTCAAACCGATTGCTCTCGATCGATTTGCCTAGCCTTCAGAACTTAGCACTTTCAATTAAAGACTATGTATCTGACGAGCATAGGTATAGGCTGAAAAAGAGGCTCAATGTCAAACTGGAATCCACATGAACTCTTCATGGATTGTGACTTACTAGGTAATGAAGCTTAGGGAGGAAATACTTCCAACTATTCACCTACTACATTTATTTCGCATGTGGTGTAATGTTACAACTACAGTACCCGAGTACTCCAACCCTCACCTCCCATCTAGCAGTCCATGACTCATTATTACACACCTCACTTCCCTTCTCATCAACACTTTTCACTGTCCAATACGCACGTGTAGCCCTACCCCTGTTAGCCTCTTACTATAGTCTCATAACCAGACTTCTCTAATCGAAAATCCATTTCCGGTAATTCAATGTGCCACCAGAATAGAATTGACCCGAGTTACTTGACACTCGGTTGAAAAAAAGTCCTACGCTGTTGAATTTTGGGGTCAGCTAAGGCGACCGGGGCAGGTGTGTTTCACCATGGCGAACCAATTTACTTATGAACATTAAGCAGAATTATGAAATCCTGTACACTTTCAATTTAATCAAAAGTGACACTTGAAAGAGGGAAAGAGAGAGAGGGAGAGAGAGAGTGGAATAGAATTATTTTATCCCATTACATTCGAAAATCAGTGCATTTCCGTGCTCACTTCAATGACTCGGTAAAACTCAACAATTCTGGCGAAAGAAAGCACATTAGTTTATAACCTTTGCTAGAAATTCTTAAAAATCCCTTTAAATAAAATAAAAAAGGCATCTATTCAAGCATTATGGAATGGGTTGTAAGCAGTACGCTTGGAAACGAAGTCCTTCTTTTGTGATCTCCAGACAATTCGATATTCAAGTACTCTTAAATTAAGACCTCATTATGAAAATCGGAAACAAATACGCCAAATCCGTGCAGTGTCATATGCCAAGCTAAAACCTACACGTTCTATGATTTAATTCTGAGAATTTTTTTGCAAAGGGCCTATTTACAAAGGTACGTCTGTGCCCAATCGGCACCTTGCATGCATGCCATGTCAGAGGTCACGCGATCAGCGCACAGCCAGTGAACTTAATGGTGAATTACACTGTTTTAGTCCAGTTAATGCAGAGAGAGAATGTGTGTGTGTGGCATCGAATCTCACATCACTCTAGCTTCACGATAACCTTCGAAATCAAAGGGAGTTTGGACATTGTTGGGAAAAAAAAATAAAACGTACTCAAATGTACCTCAGATGAGTTTTATTTTATCTCATTTACTTAATGAGTTTCTTCCAAATCACCTATGTGGAAGTAAGTCAATCACACACCCCTTATCAGTATATTTAGCCGGTGCGATGAACCTTCATGTCCCTAATTGTGAACGTCTATAAATCTTGAAAGCGTCACCACCAAACTGAATGCGTAGAATATGATATCCCCCGGCCAAATTCCTCTCATCTATATTGCTGCTTCCATTAAGATCAATACCCCCCCCCCACTCCCCACACAAATTCAAATAGAAGAACACATTTTCCCAAATAATTATAATAAAAAGATTAAGAGAGTATCGTAAATACATACATAGGACGGTTATAACAAGGAGGAAGAAGTGAAATAGTGAGTGAAAGAACATTACAAATATGATCTGGGTGACATAACCCAATCAGAGATCCGTTGAGTAGTTTTGCATAAAGTGATAAAAGGGGAGGTTCGGGAGGAGGGGGAGAAGGCGAAGACACAAGGAGTAAGAAAAAAACAATACAATACGTGGTGGGTAGAAGATCTTAATTGGGCTTTTCTTTTTCACAGAAGAGGTGTTGTACGTCCACCAACAACGGCTGTTAAATTTCACAGCCTTTGAAAAAATGAGTAAGTAATAAAACTCACTCTATCATACATAAGAATATCACAAGATAGAGTATAGAGAATAGTTTAGATAATCCTAGTTTAAAATATACTACAATTTGGTGGGGGGGGGGGGGGGGGGGAGAGAAGGTGGAAAGAACAGGAAAGTCCCATTACGGAGACAGTCGATATCTTGCGGCGACAGCAGCCGCGACAACAGAATCATCCAACTGTGGGTAGTTTGACGTAGAATTTAGAGGAGGTTGGGTGACGACACCAGGCTGCTCAGAAGAACGTGCAACGCCCTGATACCATTGAGAAGCGGCTCCCGCCGAGGTAATTCCTGAGTGGTTAGCCGATGAGGAATTTTGACTAGGAAAAGGAGACGACACCGTAGGATAGGAGTATCTATCAGTACTTCTAATTGCATTTGCGTGATGATATTGATGCTGTGCATTCCAAGCATAGTAATTCAGTGCATCTCTTTCTGGAATTCGATCTAGAACAAAAACACAGCAAATTGAGCTTAGTGAAAGATAACCCCTTCCAACCCCTTCAAATCACATTCCTTACCCACGTTTTCGTGATTCGTTTAACAATTACAACTGGCTATCTACCTCTCACTATGATCGATGTGCGCGATTGATTGCTCAAGAGTTTTACCCATTATCAAACACATGCGTTTTTAATTTTGCTCCCGTCTTAGCAATCCATTATACAAGCTGAATACAAGACTGTCACTTCCTTCCGCGCTCTCTCCCCCTAATTAAAACTTTTCAAGCTTCCAATAAACGTCAATAGGATAGGGGATATTTTGGAGCTAACCCTTCAAGACGCTCACTTTAAAACCCTCTTCCATATAATTGAGATAAACTTACTTGAGAAATTCGAGGTGAGAGAAAAGGAATTATGATTCTGGTGGGCCTCATTTGTCGACGAGCCGTCTCCATGATACGAAGGAGGAATTCGTTGATGGTCATCCTGTTGTGAAGATAGGTGATGGTGTAGGGTATTTGAATGGCTCTCTAAGCGCATATCACGAGAGGGTTGTTGGTCACTTTGACCATAGGTAGCATAAGGAGGCATCAGAAAGTAGGGATTGGCGAACATAGCAGCATAGGCAGCCGCGAAAGCTTCCCGAGATGGCTGTTGTTGGTGAAAAGTACTTGCACCCTGGGGGGAAGGAGAAGGATGTCTCATTTCAGCAAACTGCCGGCCCGATGACATCTGCCGCTGCCTTTGATAGAAATTAGACTCGTTGCGGTTATCGGTAACGACCTCATTGTTGCTAGCTTGGGAGAGAGTAAAAGGTGCGGGAGAGATTGTGCTTGGAGCTGGAAGACTTCCAGATGCAGTACTACTGCTCCTTGCACTTTCATGTGTGTCAACTGGGGTTCGAGTTGCTGTTGTCGTTGGTTGAACATGCTGATGCGTCGCTGCTGCCGAGGAAGACACATTCATATCACAACGCGTTGAAGTAAATACAGGTGTTGCTGCAGGCTGATGATTAAAGGAAGGCGTTTGGGACGACGAATAACTAGAAAGGATTCAAAGTGTTACCCTCAATCTCAAGCACGAAAAGTTAAAATCTACAAATTGCACACTAACCTTTGTGGTTGACCAGTAGAATGATGATCGCCCCGATAGGAAGACTGTTGATGTTGATCAACACCTCCATGAGATCTCGGAGGATTACTCGAAGAGGGTCGATGAGATGGAGGAGCATCAGGAGAGAGCCTTCGCCCATTTCCACCATCGCCACTTTCATTATCATCTTCATTATTATCATCGTCTTCCGAATCATCATCATCAGACAATCCTGGGTCAACTCCATTGGCAAGACATGCTGCCCGGTTGACAACCACCCTTACACGCGCCTGATTCTTGTCCACAAAAGTCTCTGCTTCAGGAGCGACAAAGAAGATCGAAACTCCACCATCACCTTGGGATTGAGGTCGAGATTGTGCTTCGAGATTGCCTATCTCGTTGTGATACTGCTCCTCATCTGGATTACTCGTTGTCAATATGGTGCTACCCTCAGTGGCTTGAAGTTGCTCACTTGCTGTTCCAGCTTGACTATTTCCCGAGGGCTGACCACTACTGCTCTCATTCGTGTTCATGCGAATCCTAACACGAAGGGGTTCGGTGAGAGGCAAGTTGGCTGTTGCGGAAGGCGGCAAAATGGCAGCGGATTGAGCTATTGATACCGATTGCTGTTGATTCTGACTTTGACTATTTCGACGGTCGCGTGTGAACAGAGGGCCTGAGTAACGTCCGCGCTTACGCACTGTAGTCACATACGGTGACCGCCATGAACGATTCTAAAAACGGGTCAGAAAAGTTTTCAAGCGTTAGTAATTTGCATGCTCAGGAGGATATGCTCGGGCCTCTTCATAGTTGTTTATCTACATGATTGGATGTGAACTGACGAGCAATGATTCCATGATCACCGACATGACGGATGCTCGTCTTTATCACTGCGCCACCACCGCACTTAGAGGAAAGTGCAACCTATTAAACTGTTTTACAGCTTACTCATTCCAAACAAACGCACGATCATAGACATAACAAGGAGAATACGATGCAGATCCAATGGGAGGGAAGCCTAATATGATCAACTAACCATTGGGAAGGACCAAAAAGGCATCTGTGTAAAACTATATATTACATTTTTAGAACCAAATTAACCAATCTAGTATGTTTTCAGGAGAAGTCTACGCGAGAAGAACATAACCACACTTAGTCATCACCGCTACCGCATGTGCCACTCCCCTTCTCCAGCCGAGAATCAGCGTGTCGCGTCGCTCCGACGTGTGTTGTTATAGCAACGCAGGGACGCACACTGTGCGCTGTCAATGGGAGGGTGTGTGATGCCAAAATCACGCGCGTACACGTATCTCCCCCTGTGTGGGGCAGGCAAAATGTAGTAGGGTAGTAGATATATAATAGCAGCAGCTGAGCGTGTGACTACCCCGCAAAGCAAGCAAGCAAAACGCTTACAATAACATGTGTGTGTGTGTGCGCGCACTACATAAGCGTCTGATGTTAATACTAATATAATGTATAGAAACTCACAGACACTGTCAATCCCTTTTTAACCTAAGGCTTGCCATTTGTACTATGGAACATTTCTTCAACACGCTGTCATCATAATCTGAGCATTGACAGTTAAAAACACCAACCTGCTTCTCGTTAACGATTGGTTGGTTTGGTTGGAATTTAATTAACAGTAGACAGCAGACTAACTATTATTATTACATAGAAGCCAAGTCCTCACAAGTATTAAAAGCTCTAGCCTTCTTCTGGTCCTTCATGTTCAGAAGCACGAGTCTCTAAACCATACGGTTAAACAATAAGAAAGCATTTCGGTGGTGTTTCAAGACAAGAAGCTTGGTATTTATTCACGATCGCCCACGAATTACAGTCCCTTCTAGATCCTTTAGCAGGAGATGGGATTGAAATTTCCATAACGAAAGCCCCTCTAGTTACTACTACTATCCTTGCCGGCCTTTTATGACCGGAAACATGGGCTGCTTCTATACAGAAGCCCTTCACCTCCAGGTCCCTTAGCTAATATCCCAGTCTTCAGCCATGGTCGATTTTACCTCCTTTAACGGGAGACGAAATATCAACCACCACTTTGTTTTTTTCTTTGATTAGAAATCTCCTTTACATTAAAAAGAACAACTATGGATTGAACATACCCTTAGTGCCTAAAGTAGTAAAGCTTATCCTCAAAAACAAAACACCATCGGTGGATGATTAAAGCTAACAACAAAAAGTGAGTTTATTTAGAGATAACTTGACTTCCACCTAAGGCTACTGTCTGATGCCTGAATTTCAAGCATAAATAAACTATATTACTTCATAAAATGAAGTAATAGAAATAGAATGGCTAAGCTCAAAGACACAAGACAGTGCTTTCGTTCTTTATTAAAAGGAAAAAAACAAAGACAAAGTGAAGAACTCACTTTAGTAATAGCACTACTTCGTCGATCTTCTTTCGAAGATGAAAAGAACTTTCGGCCAGCGTTAGTGGGGGGCTCAGTAGGCTGAATTGTATTTGCAAGATTTCCCACCTCGGGACTGGAAGCCTTGTTTACATCAACAGGAGATGGAGAGGGCCATTTTTGTTGTGACTCCGGAAGAGCGTTAATCCCCTTTTTTCCCCTTTGAACAATCCCCCGTCCAATTCCTCGACTTCCACGAGGTCTACCTCGGGTTCCTGTTGTGCCTCCTTTGGTAATTGGACGCCCACGACCACGCTTAGGTTTATTAATCAGGCTCCGAGGATTCATATATGCAGGGATAATTGGTGATGACAATAGTGAAAATGGTTCGAAATTTGACCCCACAACTGAACGAAACGATTCACAACCGTCCTTGTCAACGTCTGAAGTAATCGGTTGTCTGTGATACGAGTCGCCAACTCGTGAAATGATGAGCTTCCCAACCTTTGGAGGGGTCGGTTCATACTTTGAGTCGGCGGCAGTCTCTTCAATTGGTCTGATGCGTTTTAAGGCAGTAGCAGCCTGTTGGCTCTCTTTTTTCTTGTTCTTCTTGCCTTTCCCCCTTTTCTCCTTACGATGGCGGTGGTGGTGCGACCGAATACTAGAGAGGTTGATTTTCATCCTGAGCGGTTCTTTAAAGGGTGAAGGAGTTGGACAAAGGTCAATAATCTCTACTGCAGGAGTTGAATAATCCGCCGCCACATTGCTTCGCCCAGCTGCTTCCATAGTTGTAGTAACCATTGTAGCAACTGGAGGCACAAGACTTGTAGAGGGAATGATTACGGACTGAACTGCAAGATGTTCAGTGTCGCCATTCATATTCTCCTCAACAACTATAAGTTGTTCCTGAGATGTCGTAGATAGGATTTCTTCGGCAATTTTTGGGGGATTCACAGCAGCTTCGGCAATCGAGGAAAATGAAGTAGAAGTCGCACAGTTTTGAAGAATTGGTATAGGTTTCGTTGAGATCTTCGAAATCGATGGAAATTTCGGTGGAAAGAGAGTTTCGGAAAAGCTAAGATTAGCTGGATCTGGAATACATGAATTAGGAGTGATAGTACCATCAGAGGAATCCTCATTTTCTGGAATAGAGGGAGCTGCCTGATCAGAATCAGCAGGACAATCATTAGCACACTTAACCACAGAGGGAGGACTATAATGGGATCGGGAGATTGAAGGGGGAATAACAGCAAGAGTATCAAATGACTGCAGAGAAGGGGAATCCGCAAAACGAGAGAAGGTATTGTTATCGTGGGGCAAGGTGAGGGGACTATTGAAGCTAACGTTTAGGGTGAAAGAGCCGGCTCTAACAGCTGCTTGTAGACTAAGGATAGAGTCAGAGTCACTGTCATCTGAGGAAGCACAAATCGAATCCTGAGGTCGTCTCTCAACTAATTGTTTACCACTGTTATCTTCTTCATCTTCCGTTGTATTTGTATTTCCTGTAGATGCAGTATTACCCCAGAAAGAAGCATCAGATTGTAAAACTGGATTATCTTTCAACTCCAGCTCCAACCCAATTCTAGGGATCTTGTTTACAGGCACAGGAGTAGGAACTTCGGTAATATTGGTAAGCCTATACAAAGAAAAGAGGAATTATAAAGTGCAGTGAAGATTCACACACGGCTGCAATGAATGAAAAAACCTACCCAAAAGACTTCGGTCGTTCAGAACTCAAAAACCATAGGTGACTGTATGGGGAGTCCGTAAGAGGAGAAGAAAAACTAGTTTCTCTTTCGTTTCTGGAAGATTGTAGTTGATTTGATTCCTGGCTGGGATGAGTATACGACTCTTCCGCTACTTGAGGTTCTGTTTCAAAAGTGGTATCGGGATTTCTGGCAGCATCAAATGAATTGTCTACGGTCTCGGAATCAGAGAGCGTCAGTGCCCTTGCAAGATCGTCATCATCCTCTAACCGCTTTGCCGCCGAAGATCGTAAACTGCGCCGGATATTAGGTGAAACAGGCGTGGAGGAATTCTCCGAGGCTTGTCTACTAGAATTGCCTCTCCGCGTACTGCGACGTAGTGGTGAAAGAGGAATAACACTTGGTGTAGAGCTCCTTTTATCCAATTTTCTTCGTGGTGTAGACTGCCTCGGTGATCGTCTGGGAGACTTTCGTACTTGTTGGGGAGAAGAGAGTGGAGAGGAAGAGTATTGAACTTGAGGCTCAACCGAGTTTGTCAAAACAACAGATGGCTGAGGTGGTATTTCATTAGATTGTCGATTCACTCGACTTGGAAGAAAGTCCAACTCACTTCCCGATGAATCGGAATCGTCACCAGAGTCTTCAGGAAGCGTTCTCTTAATGGGAGTGGGTGGATCCTGAGTAGCATTAGTAGCAACAGGAGGTGGAGGACTAGATTCAAACACTGAAACACTTTGAAGAGTCAAATCCGGAGGTAAGAGTGAGTCATTAATTGAAATATCATCAACAGGATGTAATAAGCCACGATTATCACTTTCAGGTGCATTGGGTTCAGTCAAACTATCAGGAACTCGAAGAGGAGATGAGGGATCGAGTAACCCAAAACCATCCACATCATAATCACGATTCAGAAAAATTTCATCCACATCATCATCGACAGCTCGTAGAATATCCTCCATGTCGTCAACTTGGTGGTGAGATGTCCCTTGATTATCATCTCCTGCCTCATCGAAATGAGTCACAACGGCGTCTTCATCAACATGTTCACTAAAGGAAACACTCCCTGATGCCGAAGGCTGATTTTGCTCCGAGGAGTTATGATTTTTTATTTCACCTTTAGCTGCCGCCGCTGAAAATTCCGCGCTCATTTCATCAACTTGGCTAGCTAGGTTCTTGAGGAACGAATCTGCATCGTTTTGAGATGAGGAGGCATCTAAATCCACAGTAGTAGCACCACAGAAATCTGATTCAAGATTAACCTCCTGAGACATATAATTAAATGCATTCGTATCAGGAGCACTAGGAAGGTTATCTCCTTGCATGGTAGTTGAGCTAAAGTTGGCAAAGCTATCGTAAAGAGCTTGAGGAAATTCATCATTCGTGTTTACATCAGTAGTAGCAGGAACAGCATTTAATGGCATCGTCTCGTTGGTATTACTTTCAGCATTTCCAACACGGTTTCCAAGTAAGGAAGTAACGGGCACAGACACAGCAGACTGATTATCCCCTACCCCGTTAACCGAACTAACTAACGCAGCCTCTGCCAACAAAGCATCGATTTTCGCATCCCCTGTACTACCTGTCAAATCTTCAACCTGCTGTTGTTGTTGTTGATCGGCATACTCTGTGTCGGGATTAGTATTCGACGCTGATTGTTGCTGCATGAAGTCATTAATCATAGAACCATTGTTGGAAGCGCCATCCTCAGTAAATTGATTTAAATTAACCACCTCATTGTCAGGACAACCTTCACGAGCGACTCGCATAGCAGTATCAAGAATATCCTCTTCTTCACCTTCCACGGGTGCATCCCTAATTTCCACCGATTCAACAGGTTGGACCTGACCACCGTAGTATTGCATATAGCAGGAGCCATCAATAATGAAAGTCCCGCCTCCATTACTCTGAATAAACTCTGTCGGCTGACCAGCAGTGGCAGTTTGAAATGATTGCATTTGGAATTCCTGATTCGCTGCCTGATAGCCTTGGTGGGTCATTATGAATTGCTGTGTACCGGTGCCATTAGTAGTTGCAGTACCATCACTTCTGAAGTAGACCTGCTGAGCATAGCCTTCACTACTACTGCCATCCGCGTGGACTAGAAGGGTTTGGTAAGAATTTTGCTGGAGATCACCGGTTTCTGCATCGGAAGGCCTAGCTTCCACAGAAGGAAGCATGGCCATTGGGATAAGGCTACCATTAGGCCCATTAACAAGGAGCTGTCCGGCAGGTGTGAAGAGTTGCGCAGCAGTACCATTAGAAACCCCAGTATGCATAATTGGTTGCATAAATCCACCTGTTACAGTAGTATTATCGGCAGCTATTAGATTTCCCGAATTGTCCATCACATACCCTCCGGTTTGAGGTATAATGGCTGTAGGAGGATTGTTTGTTATAGCTACAGGAATTGAATTTGACATTTGTGAAAGAGTAGTGATTGTTATGAGGGGAATATTTCCTGCCACATTAGTAGTGGTAGCATTTTTCCGTCGATTTCGATTCCTGGCGTTGTTGTTAGAGGAAGATGAAACACCACTAACACCACGGGAGTTTAAATTTGCATTTGGAATAAGAGTAACAGCAGCATTCAGAGGGGGATTAGGAGCAATTGGTGCTGCAGCGGAAATTGTCACAGGTGCTGTACTTATAATCTTTCTTGCATTACGACCACTTGAAGAGCGTATTGAGCTAAGACCCGCGAGACCAGCCGACATTGTATTTGAGGATGCGGGTGGTTTAGGAGCAATCGGACGCATTTTTCGAGTACCCGGAAGAGGTTTTATAGGGGGTGGTTGAGGCGGTGGCGCTTGTTGTATGATGGTGGGCGTAACATTGATAGTTTCGACTTGAGCAGCTTGAACAGGTATCGCGATAGTCCTTGACGGAGGGGGATTTCCAGTTTGAGTAAGGGGGAGAGATTGCTGCTGTTGTTGGTTCGACGCGGATTGTGCCGGCGCGTCGGGACGATTTGCAGCGATAGAAAAAGACATTATGATAGGAGTTCCATTTGCGCCAAGGGAAGGATTTATTGCCAACATATTATTCAATCGCCTTAACACCCATTCCGGAGTGAAATTTAGACTGATTGTGTTACCATAGGGAGCAGGAGGATCAGTTTTTAATTGAAGCACTATAGGAGGATAATCTGGATGGGAAAGGGAGATTGGCAGAAGATCACCAGAGTTATTCCATACAGTCACTGATAAATTCACTTCTGTACACGTGGATAAATCCATAGGTTGTGATAATTGTGAGGCTGAGATGGGTGTCGGTGGAACGACAGAGGTCAGTTGTGCAACAGGAGGAGGTTGTGAAGGAGATGGACCAGTTAGCTCCTTAATGTCGCTTCCTCCCGTTTTCGGATCCTCACTAAAAATATAACAGGCAAATATGAGCATAATTAAACCACTTTCTAAAAACCAGCAATGCGCAAATTACCCAGAGGAAGAGTACGAAGTGGGGGCCTGTTGAGACGAGGGAGAAACAGCGACGACGATATCCACATCAGCCTCAGTAGCAGCAGTGCTATTCAATAGAACCGTATTAACACTAGATTCTGGATTCATTTGGAAATCTTGAGGGGGCAGGGAGTTTATTATGTTTTTTATTCTTGACAGATCACCTAAAAACAAAAAGGTAATAAACACATTAAATAAAACCATGAAATCAAGGAACAACAAGAAGCAATATAACAAATACCAACCAAATTTTGCAGCCTGTATAATTTCCTTAAATGCCTCAGTGGATTGAGAGGAATCAATATTTGGGGATGGTGTCTGACGCTGAGCTGCTTCCTGTTTTAACTCAGAAGATGGGTTTTCTACATCCACAGTATGGGGAATCGAATCCAACGTGGCTACTTTGGAAGTTGGGTCTAAAGTTAAAAAACAAGTTTCCAATAAAAAATAAATATAGAGGGGGGATAGTGAGGTGATAATTGAAGGAGTTTATATCAGAGAAAATGCAGAGAGGGTGCACAAAGATCAGGATTGAGAAAAAGACTAAAATGTTAGAACGAAAGGAATACGAACTAAGGCACAAGGGAGAAAAGTATCGCGTAGGTGCTTACTTGATATAATACCTTGACAATTTCAATATACTACAAAAATAGCAAAAGATGAATATCAGGTCGAACTCGACTGATAATAGACAGGCAAACCATAATTAAAATTTCAAAAAATATGAAAAAAGACGAGAGAGCTTTTGAGATAAAATGAAGACACTCTGTATGAAAAATGAAGAAACATTCTAATTCACTTTTCGCTATTTTAAATTTACGTGAAAAACAAAACAAATTAAATAAAAAATAAAGACAGTAAAAATAAATATACCTTTAGGAGAATTAGGGATATCGTGAATAGACATTGAGTCGCCAACAAAAGTGTGCACACTCATAGTGTGGATAAAATCTAAAACTAGAACATTTAACAATCATAGTTTAGTATAGAAAATAGTTAATTAAAACATAATTAATCAAGGGAATATAAAAAAATTGTTCCAAACCCATTTAATCAACACACCAATTAAAGATGTGCAGCTTGCAACTCAGTCCCTAAAGAAGCAGGCGAATATGAAACGCCATAGTGCGCAAACAACAATAGCGGGTAATTGTTTGTCTATTAAAACAACAAGCAATTCTATATCAATATTATTTCATATATTTCAATAAACTAACAAAAATTTCGAAAAATGTTAAGCACAAACTGTGTCAAATTTTTTCGCTCTCAATATCAAACTATTTATTATGCTAAACGTTAGAACTATTCGTTCCCCCTTGCTTTTTAATACAAAGTTGAACATGTATCAAAATGATTTTCACATATCAGTTATAATTACGCAATTCGTGGATTCTTCAGTAGTTTATTTACAAATTAGTTAATAAGTAGGGAGAATAATCTACTGATCGTAGCTTCGGTACATTTCATTCAAAACCACATATTAACGATCAATTGGACGAGATTGCGCGCCCCTTAATATACAACATTTTTTGCTGGGTCTTCGCTTTACATATAAAAATATATCTACGATTTCAAACGCTATCTCCACCACTGAAGTCCCTTTTTGAAAGATCATTTTTGTTTCATCACCTGTGTCCACGAATTTTCTTAATCACATGAGAAACTGTTAAGACTTCTTCTATATACGTACACATATATATAATGGACTGATGACATAATGGTAACGGGAATTATTCGGATTACTTACGTTTCATAATTAGTAATGATAAATTGTGTTCAAATGGATCTAAATTGCTACAATTCCGAATTATTCGGTTGATATTTGCACTTCAAATTAAATTGGCGCTTACTACATGTTTAGATTTCTTTGTGAATTTGCATTTTTACTGACTAAGTAATTAACAACCTATTCTGTAAGTTTTAACGAACTTCTATTACTGAATGCGTTTAAACAATTAAGTATTAAAGCCTATGCTTATACACTTGGCAGTTTTTATTCCACGTTATCGATGATATATTAGGCATATACCAACTGGCGTTCTGCTGCTTAAGAAAAAATTTCATGTATTACAGTTTCACATAGCTTGCCAAAGTCAGTGAAACAAGTGGAAAGCGATTATGTATTTAAGTAATTGTTGTTACAATCGTCTTCGTGTCTTTTCGCTTACTTAGGCTATTGTGAGAATTCTCGAAAGCATATTTTTTGCATAAGCACTTTGTCATTATATTATTTTCTCTTTAAAATACGGTCACCAACTTAGATTTTCATCGTAAATTGCCCCTGAGGCGGATCGCTACACTAATAAAACAGGACTATTCTCAGAAATTTCAATAGCACACTCTCTTGGTTGGAAGGGCTCCCGGACTTGAACTATCACAATGATAGTAAGGAGAAAGAAGTGCTACGAGTGAAGGGTTCACCTGAGCATTCATCTGCACACACGGCCGCACTCTCTAGAATGTTCGGGTGTTCAGTTTAATCGAGCGAGTATTGTGTGGTCCATATCCCTGTTCTCTAAAACTTTTAGGATGTTAAATGAGAAAGATCAGATTAATTAACTTCCGCCGTTGTTCATTGTACACTGAAATAAGTTTATATTGCTAATTTGATGAATACTTAGTTACCAGCTGCGTTTATCTTTGGTTTTTGCAATGCTTCCATCAACTACACTTGATTAAAAAAATTTACTTTTCCATTCACAATAAAACTTTTTTAACTTTATCATAACCAAGCATCTGAGAAGCGTGAATGCTTAAGCATTACAGAAAGCGATAGTAAATGAAGTTGCATTAGAGTTGGTTTTAAATTTAGATAGCAAAACTGTGGACAGCATCAACAAATTACTCACACCAAGACAGCATAATTGTCTTTGAAAAATTATCTGGTCAAGAAGAAAATTTTTGCAGCTTTTATGATCTCATGCTCCACAGTTTCAATGTCATTACTTTTGCCTCTTAGTTATTACGTGGTTTTACGATGAAATGGAACTTAGTAATTAAATAGAATTTGGGCTACGTTGAACAAGCCGTGACTATTGATTGTTGATTGTCTTTGAGGTCTTTGCACCCATGACCTCATTTGCTCCCAGATGTGATTGGCCTCAGGGCAGCACGTGTTTTAAACGGGACAAGTAGCATGTTGCTCTTTCTGGAATGTTCGAGCGCACGAGGCATTCTTTGGTTCAGCCATGTTAGTGTTGCGCACACCACAACACCATTAAGGAAACCAAAATGAGTATTACAGTCGGATAGCTGAACCGATTAATTCCTGCTTCACAGTGGGCTGATAGAATAGGACTCATAGATTGCCATCCCTTCATTCAGTATGTTAATGGCAATTGGAGAAATGTTAAAATTCATTGGTTTGGTGACTAATTTTATCCTATCAATTATCGCAATATCCAATCAAAAAGGCTGGTTTTGCCTATCTGTTGAATTACTTAAATTAAGTTGAATTAAACATATTTTAAAGAGTTCTAGGAGTTTCAATAGCACTTTCACCATTCTATATATATTATCATGCGTTTCAGTGGATATTCTTATTGGGGCACTCTATTTTACATGGTTTTCTTTAACGATTAAATAAACCTTGCTTAGCGCCCTTTGAATTGTTTAAGTAAATTTGTTTATAAAAATGTTGTAGAACGTATGGAGTGGAATAATTCATCTAGCTTGAGAATGTTACATCCTCCTTCCCTAACCTACCGATTTAGTAATTAGTATATCTTGTTGATAATGAATAGGTAAGAAAGCCAAATGATGGTCCTAATATCTGTGTAAAATGTGAGTGATTAAGCATATGTTCCTATATTTATGATGCTACATATATTCAGTCATTTGAACAATAAATATGCTGAAAACTGAACACAGTAAATCCAGACGAACAAATGATATAAATGCAATTGTATGGTATCGCCAAATCTTAATCGATACATTTAAATGATCAAAGTTAATTGAAAGTTTATAAATTATATCGACCTTCTAAGCGATATATTAACTTTTTACCGACTATACTATCCTTGATGCATCCAATTATATGCAATTAACTAACCAAATTTAAAGAGGAATTTTAATTATTATAAACAAGATGAATCACTTAAAAGGGAGATTTATTCATTTTATTACTGAAAGGTTAATAAACAGCTAGAAGTTGTTTTTATTTACACTTTACCTATCCGCTGCATACAATTTTTTCGTGATGGTTGGCACACCTTATGTTTGGAAGGATGTATTCGTTCTCAAGTAAGACAAATATTCTTGCCATTATGTTTAGAAAACCATGGAATGATGTGATGCGCGCAGCTCAGGTTAAATATCCCAATCCTTTCAATCCGAATGTTCTTTCGATTGACGTTGTTTCACGAAAAGTTGATAGTGAGACCGGTGTCCTCTACACTACTAAACTTATCAATTCTTCCTGGCCCATGTTTTCAAATGCAGGGGAGCTTCGTGGTATTGAACGAACTGAGATAGACCCATTAAATCGAAGAATGTTATTGGAGTCTAACAATATTGACATGAGAAGTGTCCTCAAAGCTCATGAAAAATTGGAATACGAGGTTCATCCTGATAATCCTGAATGGTATAATGCTTTGTTATTGTTATTAATGCGTTTCATTATCTATCTGACATCTTATTTGTTTTTAGGACCCTCATTCGTCATCAGATTTCAATCGATGCCTTCAGTTTTATTGCATATGCTGCACTTACAGCTAGTCAAAAGGCTGCGAGTTCAGTAAGTTAATTTTTCTTTTAATTGGTTTTCATCTATGCTGTATTATTGACTTTTCTTGGTTTTTAGGGCCGTGAAGCTCTAAATTGGGTTATTGAAAATCGTGTAGATAATTTTATGAGCCGAGTACCTAATCGAATTGTGGAAGTCCCCTCTTCTACTGCACCGGTATCTTTGCCTCTAGCTTCGGGCTCAAATTCAGAATTGCATCCCTCATATCCAATTACCCTCTTGTCTCGTTTGCGCTCATTTAGCCTTCTCTCTCTTCATCCTCTTGTTACAATCGCAAAGGCCAATGTTCTCCCTTTTAGACCTTCTTGGTTTACTCAACGGACGAATTCCGTCAACAATCTGCCAGCATTTTTTGATCGTGCGATTACGTCTTTCGATTCGTTTCATCCGATTGATGCTTTAGGAGAGATTAAAGGTCGTGTGGCAACAGATGTATCTGCCTTCAGTGAACGTTTGCGACAGCGTTGCCAACGTGTTATTGATCGATTCTCCAAGATAGATGAATATGTTCTTATTATGTGAGATGAGATAGTGGTTAAGTGTGCATCTGGATACTCGATAGCAGTCTCCGGTTTTGAAATCGCTCCTCCGTTGACTCGTTCCTCTAGCCATCTCGTCTTTCCACCCTCCTGTATTTTTGTGGTTTTGTAAGAATTTAGTAGGTAATACAATTTGTGAATAGTTTTGATCCAGACTTATTCATTTTGGTTTACTGCTAATTGGATTATCTAATAGGACATATTTTAACTTTTCCTCTCCATTTGTAAATTCGTGCTTACTATTCGGGCAATCTAAAGTAATAGCTATATTGTGGGCTTCTCTATTTTCGGAGTTGTGTGTTTTATTTAAGAAGAGGAGATATTTCTATTTAAATTTTTGATTGAATATTATTCATCAAAGATGGCAAACAAATCCCAGAGGTGGGTATTCAACGTATAAGCCTGCCAGGTTGTGTGAATGTGCTTTCGCCGCCTTGAAGTTGTGATCTGAACTGAACTGGCCGAATGCAGACTCCTCAGTCATGGAGATTTCAGAATGTTATCTCTTCTTTCACAACTAGTGTTATTGATAATTGTGCAATTTTCCTTACGTCAGCTGTTAACTTGTCTACGAATTCAAAGTTCATGAACTCCTACCCGATGAGTCGGGTGTCAAAGCTTGACCTTGGCATCAGTAGGCCCCGTGGTACTTTCTTCTATCCTAAATGAACGCAGTGTTTAGAATGCTCATCTAATTATAACGATGATCAAGGTGTTGATATTCATCAGTGCAAATTTAGTGAATGAAATGACGAACTGGTTAATAGTCGGGAACAGTTAAATTAACTGTTTCATTATACCTGAACTGGCGAATTTCAACAGATACCGGGGGGGGGGGGGGGGCAGAATTATCCTAAATGAAACTAGGCAACTTTCATTATCTTAGCAAAGCTGAGCTCTCAAAAAATAGAGATCATTCGAAATTAGTGATTACTTTTATAATTCGTTATTCTTTACTTGTGCATGCTTGCTCACGTCTTCACAATTGAGCTCTGATGGATGACCACTCACAAGTCTCATGTGAGTCTTATTGGAAGTTGACTTAGGCTCTTAGCATTTATTGGCTCTAAGTAAGCAAAACCTCTCAGATTGCATATTTCATTCGGGCTGTATTCTAAAGCTCCAAAAGAAGCTAATTGGATCGTCAATTTTAAGCATTAAAATGACATTTCGCTTTTTTTAATCATTTTACTTTCATCACACCAGCGAAAATTATCTGCTATTCATTAATTGTTTTTTATTCAATACCACTTGGCTTATTTTGAGCAGATTATTTTACTTGAACTATTTTCCCCATGAAAATTAATTGCTTAAATTCTGTAAGGCATCAATTTTATTTCTCGACTAAAATGGGTAGGGTATTATAGGACTTAGCTGTTTATTTAATCTACTTATTTGTTGTATCGATCAATGATATGGTATTGATTTTCCACATCTCAGTTTTTACTGACGGATTGATCTTCGATGCTTATTAAAATTGAACTTTAATGGCTTAATTTAGACTGTATCGGACTTATCTTAATTTGGAATGGCTCCTGGAATTAGCTACCGTTTCGACGCAACGCAATCAGCATCTACTGCAAGCACTAAAATATTAGAGCCCGTAAAGATTCCCCACAGGTCGACCGATGAAATTACTCGATACATCTAGATAAATAATAAACAGAAAACGATGGAAAAAACAATGTATCTATGATGGGCAAATATATTTACCCGAAAGTTAAAAGCGCATTTTGTCATTTTAATTGTCCATATTGGCAGTATTTCATCTCTTGAGGTATCTTTGGGTGTGCTTTGTATCCACATGATTACTTTCTTAAATCACATTAAATTGTGCATTGAAAGGGCAAAACGATTTGAAGGTACTGCGTTAAGTTGACGGTATTCCCCCCCCCCCCCCCCCCCCCCCCCCACCCTCCATCGATGCTCTTTCACTTCTACCAGCTATGGGAGAGGTGTCTCGTTTGTGTGCTCTCGCAATACCGACACTCTCATGTTATGTCTTTTTCCTTCGTTCATTAATTAGATCGTTCTAGAATATAGAAGTTAGCAGGAAGTCAATAGCCATAACTACGCATGGTTCCAGATATTTCATTCTTCTTACCTGAAAGCATTCTATTGGTTCTGCTTTACAATAAGATTTACACTTAGTCTGAGAACGCTATTGACGAAATAACAATAAAATTTTCGAAGTCTGTTTATCGGAAAAAGATAGGATACAGCGCAAAACAATTTCGGTATTCAATACTGGATGCTTGTTATAATGTTTCCAAGGCTTCAAACAGAAGTTAATACCATTGATGATCCACTTCATTGGCTCGGTTATGCCACGATGCTTGTGACAAAAGCAAATTCTGTTTAACACAGTTCTTTAAACCGTACATTTGCATTTCAGTACTCGAGTAGGTAGAGAATACAGCTTGAGGAACACCAATGGAGACCAAAGTAAACGAGTATTAACAAAGTGATCGTGCAAAAATATAAATATGGAAGAGAATAAAAGCCATTGGCATTATAATTTCGGAGGAACAAAGGCAGCTCAGTTTGTGGCTACTAAACCGAAGGGCACGTTGAATAAGCGGTAGGTAGGACGGGGGAGATCTAGCCTACAATGCCGATGGCTGCAAGGATTTTTGTTTCACTATAATGACAGGATTCCTTTCCTCTTAAGCTATATTGATGCCTACAGCCTCTTAGTTTAATCTCACAATCCCCTCCTCCCCTCCCCTCCCCTCCCCCCCCCCCCGGNACCCCCCCCCCCCCCCCCCCCCCCCCCCCCCCAGTGTAGCCAACTTCTTTCATCGTTAATGCTCCTTCTGTCTTCCCACTTTCCCACACTAATAGAAGACATCTTTATTCCTACTTATAAAATGTGCTTGCCCGTGATATCAGAGATTAAAAATTCACCTCTCATCTTTTCAAAGATAGTGATCACTTTGACTAAGTAGATAATTACCAAAATGAAACTATATTTATGAATATCTAATAGATATTTTCTCTTGACCAAGTTTATGCCTAGGGGTTTTGTGAATAATACAGATTTCCTTAAAACGTAGGTAGTTGGAGTTAAAGTGGAATAACAATGAGGACTGGTCTTTCCTTCTTCTTAGCTGGTATATCGTCGTGTAGATAGGAAAAATAATAAGTCTTGGCAATAATGGTGATGGGTTCACCTATATTTTTCAATAAGGAGGCTAAGTATCCAGGTATTTTGCCCAAAACGAAACTGAAGCATTATCCCTCCTAGAGTGCATATGAAACGCACTTTTGTAAAGCTACCTTATTCAGAGGACTGTTATCCTTCTAATTGGAAGGGCTTAAAACACAAGTTATAGTGTAAACATCAATTAATCTCTTCAATTGCTTAAATTAAGTAGTTAAAAGCCAATGATATGAAGAATGTTCGCGCAGTTGAATGACCTTTACCATGTGATGTAATGGGGACAGGCACTCTAGGTCAAGCGAGATCAATTTAGCGTCTAGCCACTGAGGGGGTGCTAGTCTAGTTTATACCATCATTGATATATTTGTTTATTTATATCAAATGGCAGGCGCTTTGATAGTTGTCATTAGCCCTTTAGCAGACTTCAGGCTTCACAGAGGGGAAGGAACATGAAAGTGAACAAAAATTCGAGTGTTTCAAAGATGTAAAAGAAACAGAACAAAAGGTTGAAAA